GGTTCATCTGTACCATTTACTAGATTCCACATATATGCGTTAATATACGATATTTGTTTTTCTCTCTCTGACTTACTTCACTCTGCATGACAGTCTCTAGATCCATCCACGTCTCTACAAATGACCCAATTTCATTTCTTTTTATGGCTGAGTAATATCCCATAGTATATATGTACCACATCTTCTTTATCCATTTGTCTGTCGATGGGCATTTAGGTTGCTTCCATGACTTGGCTATTGTAAATAGTGCTGCAATGAACATTGGGGTGCATGTGTCTTTTTGAATTATGGTTTTCTCTGGGTATATGCCCAGTAGTGGGATTGCTGGGTCATACTGTAATTCTATTTTTAGTTTTTTAAGGAACCTCCATACTGTTCTCCATAGTGGCTGTATCAATTTACATTCCCACCAACAGTGCAAGAGGGTTCCCTTTTCCCCACACCCTCTCCAGCATTTGTTGTTTGTGATTTTCTGATGATGCCCATTCTAACCAGTGTGAGGTGATACCTCACTGTATTTTGATTTGCATTTCTCTAACAATTAGTGATGTTGAGAAGCTTTTCATGTGCTTCTTGGCCATCTGTATGCCTTCTTTGGAGAAATGCTTATTTAGGTCTTCTGCCCATTTTTGGATTGGGTTGTTTGTTTTTTTAATATTGAGCTGCATGAGCTGTTTATATTTTGGAGATTAATCCTTTGTCCATTGATTCATTTGCAAATATTTTCTCCCATTCTGAGGGTTGTCTTTTCGTCTTGTTTATGGTTTCCTTGGCTGTGCAAAAGCTTTTAAGTTTCATCAGGTCCCATTTGTTTATTTTTGTTTTTATTTCCATTACTGTAGGAGACGGATCAAAAAATATCTTGCTGTGATTTATGTCATAGAGTGTTCTTCCTATGTTTTCCTCTAAGAGTTTTATAGTGCCCAGTCTTACATTTATGTCTCTAATCCATTTTGAGTTTATTTTTGTGGATGGTGTTAGGGAGTGTTCTAATTTCATTCTTTTACATGTAGCTGTCGAGTTTTCCCAGCACCACTTATTGAAGAGACTGTCTTCTCCATTGTATACCCTTGCCTCCTTTGTCATCAATTAGTTGACCATAGGTGCATGGGTTTATCTCTGGGCTTTCTATCCTGTTCCATTGATCTATATTTCTGTTTTTGTGCCAGTACTATATTGTCTTGATTACTGTAGCTTTGTAGTATACTCTGAAGTCAGGGAGTCTGATTCCTCCAGCTCTGTTTTTTTCCCTCAAGACCGCTTTGGCTATTCAGGGTCTTTTGTGTCTCCATACAAATTTTAAGATTTTTTGTTCTAGTTCCATTAAAAATGCCATTGGTAATTTGATAGGGATTGCATTGAATCTGTAGATTGCTTTGGGTAGTATAGTCATTTTCACAATGTTGATTCTTCCAATCCAAGAACATGGTATATCTCTCCATCTGTTGGTATCATCTTTAATTTCTTTCATCAGTGTCTTATAGTTTTCTGCATACAGGTCTTTTGTCTCCCTAGGTAGGTTTATTCCTAGTTATTTTATTCTTTTTGTTGCAGTGGTAAATGGGAGTGTTTCCTTAATTTCTCCTTCAGATTTTTCATCATTAGTGTATAGGAATGCAAGAGATTTCAGTTAATTTTTTTTTTTTTTTTTGCTGTACTTGGACCTCTCACTGTTGTGGCCTCTCCCGTTGCAGAGCACAGGCTCCGGACGCGCAGGCTCAGCGGCCATGGTTCACGGACCCAGCCGCTCCGCGGCATGTAGGATCTTCCTGGACCAGGGCACGAACCTGTGTGCCCTGCATCAGCAGGCAGACTCTCAACCACTGTGCCACCAGAGAAGCCCCGTGTGTGTATTTTTTAATGAGTCATTCCCACTTCTTGTATCAGTGAGATAGTAATTTAATAGTTCCACCTTGGATTCTATTCTTTTGTATTGGGATCTTTTTTTTTTTTTTAAGGTCTAATTGAGCAGGCTGCCCCTGCTCAATGTTAAAGGTCTTACATAGAAGATCTGGTGCCCTGACTATAAAACTTCTGCTTTTTGCCCAAGTAACACATAGCTGAAGGATATCTGTCAAAGCACATGGTGCTTTCGACTAATTCATTTTGATGTATCCCATAATGTTCAGTGTTCTATATGGAGCTCTACGAATATAAGACATCCATGCTACATTATTTAGAGTTCAGATGTGAGAATGATGTTTGATGGATTCAAATCAGGATAAAAATCATAATGGTCATACTTGTGTGGAACTTTATACTTCTTACAACATGAAACTTTCTCTTTGTAACACACCAGCCCTACTATGCTTATTTACAGACATAAGTAGTGAAAACATGAAGAAAATCAGTGTAAAATCTATTGAAATACATAGGAAAATATTTGTATATGTCATCTATGTTCTCCCTTCACTCTTACTCTGTGTTCTGAGTAGAAAAATCATTGAGATCTTGTCCGCTGTGTCCTGAAGCCTGGATGAGATAAGGCAAGGCTGACTTAAGGGGTGGGGCCGGGCTGGGGGGTGGGGGAGGAGCGTGATTCAGGCTTGAACACACAGGAGACCATGGCAAGGATCCCTGACCAACTGGGTGCATTTGGCTGTAGTTCCCAGTCTCAGGCTCTGCAGGGACTTGAAATCTGGCTTTCCCTGTGGTTCTCTCCTCCCAGGTCCCCAACCTTCCCTTCCTCCTCGTTTATTTTTTGGATGCAGTTCAAATTGGATCCTAGAATTCTGGAGAAAGCTACTTCTGCCCAGGACAACCCTTTCTTGAACGCTTTTAGTCTTTTTCTCCTGTCTGGTGACCTTAGGGTCTACTTATCCATTAGGTGCAGTGGGCACAGTTCCTAGCCCCATCATACTTTCAGGGGCCCACAAAAATGTTTGAACTTTTTTATAATCGAAAGGAAAAATGAACACAATCCAACCTGGATTATATTCTTTCAATGCAGGTTCTTTTTGTTTGTTCGTTGTTGTTGTTGTTGTCGTTGCTTGTTTTTTTCCTGGAGGCAGGACATCCACAAAGGCAAAATTATCTAGGGCCGACAGAAGTCCTAGTGCAGCCCTGGGTGACTTTCCCACTGAAAATCAAGACCTCACAAGACCAACTGGTCAACTACCCACGGAAATTCACCAAGATCCACACACTTAGCGTCAGGGCCTGATCGAATGTGCCAACTTTTTGCTCATCAGAGTTTTTTTAAATGCAGCAAGGAATGAGGCATCACGGGAAAACTCCTGGCTGCATCTGAGAAGACACAGTTCTTTGCAGGTATGTTTCCCAGAGCCAAAGAGCAGGGGCTCCATAAGCAATTTAACAATGGAGTCCAACCTCATTTGAGGGCCAAACCTAGCCTGTGACTGTCTGCATTCCAGCTATTACCTGTATGACTTAGTCACACCAACCTACCTACAACCTGACACCTTCTCTGAAATCCTTTGTTTAAGCATTAATTGCCTTTGGTACCTCTGAAATCCCTCTCCTTTTTTTTATTTTCCCCCAATTGGTCATTAGCTGTGAAGTAGGAGGTATTTTGGAGATCAAATATTCAAATGCCCCTGGCTGCTGGTGGGGAGCCACCTAGGCTGGCACCTGAATTGATATGAAATATTATCCTGAAAGGAACTGTTTATAACAATCCATGGAAACTTTAACTTCCCACAAGTTATTGCTTACTGTGATCCTTTAATGAAAGTTGCTGCCGGCAGCTATAAATTTGGGTTTGGCTGGGTTGTTTCCACTTGTAGCCATCAAGGCAGACTGATGATAGCTCCACTCCATTTGTTAAGAGTCTCAGCGTCTAGGCAGCAGAACTGGCAAGTGTTTTCTTGCTCTTTCTGTACCCCGAGATATAACAGACATTTCTAGGTATCCCCCATCTTTTTCTTAGGTCCCAGTGATGAAGCCTTAAGATCTGCAGCAAAAAGCCAAGGGTTCCCTAACTTCCAGAGGGCGTGAGGAGACAGCCTGCTAAGAAATCGGATGCCCCCCTCCAGGGCCTGGGGGCTCTTCACTGACTGGTGCTCTGGGATAGAAGGCCCCCTAGGTGGGTGCAGGTAGATTGGTTCTTGCCTCTCTCTCAGCCTGCAGCCCCTAAATGGCTGCATCCCATGGCCTTAACACAATGATTTCTCAGGCCTGAAGTACACAGGACGGAGCTCTGCTGACTTTGCCAAAGCTCTTTTCCAGATTGATAGTCTGAAATTGCAGAGATGTTTTGGGAGGAGGATTCCTTTAAACCAAAGGTAATAGGAAGCTTTCTGTGAGTTATCAAAGGAAAATGATGGGTTGAGGCACAAATCTGGACAGGGATCATCCCATGGGGCCTATAGTTTTCCCACAGGACTTCCTTTTTAAATATTTTAAGTGCCGGTAGTTTCAAAAAGTGTAACTTAAGGGAAAGGAAAGTTACATGCCCAGGCCCGTGTCTGAGCCTGCCTCTCCCAGCAGTGCTCATCCGTACACCTTCCTCCAAAAGCACTACTTAATAGAAGCACAGTCAAGTAGCATAATTTTAAACTTCTTGGATGTCTGAGCCACTTAACTAGAACTGAGGATAAGCTGGTCATTCAAGTTCTTAATTCCAAAATTATGTTAATTTCCATCCGTAGTTCTAAGGGACTGCTTTGTGGCTATTTCAATACTTAATGTTCTTTTGAAGATGTAAAAATGATCCTGTGTCATTTTCTTACGTAAGAAAACACAATTCAAAATCATTTTTCTACTTGTATGAAGTTCTTTCCTTTCCCCTTCATTTAAATGATGTCACATCCACCTGAAACTATTCCGATGAGGACGGGGTGTGACCCAGGCACAAACCGCTGATACCAACAGAAAACCATCTCACTGAACTTATTATAACAACTCATGAAACACTTGGTCTTTGACACAAAGAAGGGACTAGAGAAGCTAAGTGTTTTTCTACTTGCCAATCTCTGCATACTTTACATTGTAAAACAAAACAACAACAGAATAACCAAAGTGTGGGAAAACCACCCACTAGCTATTGCTCTGTTAACAGAGAAGGGGCAAGCAGTTTGCAGGGGGTATGAATACCCATGCCCTAGAGTTAACTGTTTCAGAGGCGTCTCCACGCCACCCCACCCCCATGCCTCCCCAGCAATGGGTCTCCAGCTTGCTGCATTTGGCATCCTCCACTTTCATAACCCAGGGGTGAGGGAGCTTGGGCCCTGGCTTTTTGATTATGCCGCTTGTTTCGAGCCATGTTTGGTTAAATCCTGCCTCCGCTAACAATGGCAAATGAGCCAAACCAGACAGATGCAAACTTCTTTTGGTCAGGCATAATTTAAGAATGTGGTTAGTCCTTAGGTCAAATCGGTTTCACCAATCTGGGTTTCTATCCAAGCTTGAAGCAGGACTCCTTGTTTTAACTGCCCCCATGTAAACTCTGATCAGATTTGTATGAGTGTTTTGAAGGGGCTGAGAGTAAAGCAAGCCCCCTCTGATTCTCGGAAGGGCTCCATGGGGGGCTGGACATGTGCTTTAGTTTAGTTCCGACTTTGATCTGTGCCTTAGCTCTAAGAGAAAGCATGTGGGTGTAAGAAGAAACAATTCTCCTTTCCAAATAAATTTCTTTAAAAAATCTCACTCACTACATTTTATGGACAGAACAAACCCAACTCTTAAGGCTACTAATTGACCGCTTCTCAAAAGAAGTGAGGTGCCAGAGGCTTTGCCTACACTTCAAAAAGTAAAGTGGTAATTTGTCAGTTAGTAGTTAATGTGGTCCAGTGAGATACCTAAACTGGTAATTCTCACCCCAAAATGAATTCCTTTTGGCCCAAATTGGCCAGTAAAAGTAAGACAGATGTTTTGTTTTGTTTTTTCTTGTTCCAAGTTTGCCTCCAGGAAGTTTCTGGATTAATTATATCATTTCAGATATTCCACTTTACTTTAAATTAGGGACAGTAATTGTCAAGCGTGATATATAGCCGTGTCCACCCAGCCCCTTGAGCTTTATCAGAACCTGCCAGCACAGACACCTGGGCAGCACTTTGGTTCTTAATTCTCAGTGGCTACTTCTAGAAGCCTCACTCACCTACACTTTAACTTCACCTCTGAGCTGTCCTCTGCTGTCAAGGGGAGAGAGAGGAAGTCGAGAAGGGTGGGGAGAGAGAAACTGATTGAGAGAGAAGGAATTATAAACTCATCATATTTTAAATAAAACAATTTAACACAAGTCGTTTTATAATACTGAAAACAATACCAAAGAAATCTGGCCACTGGAGCTCACTTTATCTTAACTGGCCTTTTTCTTCTCTTTCCCACTGACAAAACTTTCTTGTTGTTGCTTTAAAAGACCTACCCTAAAAATAGAACACATAAGCCAAAGTAATCATTTATGATCAATTAATCACTTCAACAAGAACACTGGAAACTAAATAATGCCATCTCAGATTCTCTGACAAACATTGAAGTTCTCAGTGGCAAACCTCGAATTAAAATCTCACAAGAAAACGGTCAAATTCCTATTACTTACCTAGTCTGAGGTGTTGACGGAATCAGAAACAACTTTGAGTAAATGCCCCCTCTCTCCTCCTTCCCCTGACGTTTTCTTCTAGACGTTTGCTGTTCCCACTTTTTTTTATCCAGACCCAGTCAAGGTGTGTTACAGCTGAGTGATCTTTCAAAAATGTTTGCTTCTTCTCTTGCCCTTGTTTCTTTCAGTTCTTTGCTTCCAAACAAGTCCTGACAAAGGTGTGTCGGCATTTACAGTGTGACTCCACCCTTCCAATTATCTGACACTTGCCGGATTAAAAAAAAATCCGCCTCCAGGATCAAACTTTACAGGAGGCAGAAACCTTCTCCATTCTAGGTGGATCAATAATTCATGGGCCATGGGGAAAAGGGAGCAACTGTTCAGAATAAGGAAACGACATTTTATTGCTCCTCCTTACCTTCTACAGCCAGAGAGCTGCCACAACCCGGTATTCCCCTCGCGCGCTGCCATGGGAATAATCAAAATCCCCATGTGCATGACTCATGGTGTAGCCAGGCATGTAGGGGCCTGTGGTCAAGGTCTGAGCCTGAGTCCTAGAAAAACTGTGAAGTTGACAGGATTTATATTCAAGACCTGTTTCCCCTATACATACCTTTTCCCTCTCTCCCCCATTCTGACCCAACCCATGTCAATCTCACCTGGAGGAAACAGTGGGTGAACTAATTCAGAGTAAGACATTAATGACTGAAAATATAGAGCAATTAGTGGCATAGGGTTCATTTTTTTTTAAGTAACTAGGTATAGTAATGCTGAGTCTAAGGAGTGATGTGAGTGACAGGATTTTAGGCATTTAGCCACCTAGTAATGGAGAGAGATACTGTTGGGGAGGGTTAAGGACATTCTTGCACCTCAATTCAGCACCCACATAGTCTCTACACATGCAAAGACATGTGTGGACTCCCAGAGGCCCTGTAACTCCAGGTACATTTCATGGGGCCATTAGACTTTTCTAAGAGGGCCAATTTGCACCAATCTAGAAAGTTCTCATGAGCACCTGGATAGCATCTGGCTTTCTGGGACCCCTGAACACTAACTTGAGGGACTTCCCTGGCAGTCCAGTGGTTAAGACTTCACCTTGCAATGCAGGGGGTGCAGGTTCAATCCCTGGTTGGGGAGCTAAGATTCCACATGCCTCTGGGCCAAAAGAACAAAACATAAAACAGAAGCAATATTGTAACAAATTCAATAAAGACTTTAAATATGGTCCACATCCCTCCATAGCCGCCCCCCCCCGCCCCCCGGCAAAAAAGAGTAATTTGAGACTCTTGGTGTTGGGAATATGGGAACTCTGACCCTAGAACTCACGCAGGTGATTCTTTGGAACCATAGCATCTTCTTGGGACCCAATGCCAGGTTTGGATTCCCTGTTCTGAGGCATTATTCCAAGATCCTGGAGGGGAGCTGAGGAATTCCTGTAGCATAGTGCCCATGCATGTCTACACTGTGCTATTGTGGGTACTCACACTGCATGGGAGGGTAGCAGACAACCAAGCACACCTTGTGGGATTCTCACTCCTAAGCTCCCAATATTTCTGACTTGAAGTCACTCATTTCAGACCCCTTTCAATGGTCTAGAATGTGACACTTATGGGGTTCTTGTTTTCTGGGATGTTCCTGCCTTCCCTAAATAAATATTTACTCAACATGTCTGCTGTTAATCTCACAGAAAAGCATTGAAGGACCTGGAAGAGGGAGAGCTTTCAGCATGAAATGAACATAACCCTGCCTCATTTATTCACTTACTCATTAACTCATGAATTAAACAAAGATATATTGGCTTATTGCCTCCTGCTTGGAGCCAGACATTGAACTGAGAATTTGGTGGTGAAATATATTCTCAGTCCTTATGGAGTTCAGAGTCTAGTGGAGGAAGATAGGCCTTAAATGTATTAGTCTGCTAGGGCTACTGTAACAAAATACTACTGGTTTTGTTAAAAGCCAGAAATAACAAGTTCAAATGGAGTCATTTGCCCCCACAAGAGCAAAGCAAGACTTAATTGCAATTCCAACCTCTCCCAGGAATGGAACCTCTAAGTAGACAATCCGAAATTTCCTGATCAGCACTTAGTGAGGTAATCTGCATAATAAGACCCCTGTTGTTCCCTTCCCCCACAAAATGATGACCTGGCCTGAAACAATTCTTTCTTGTCTTTTGCTAATAACATCCTTGCCCAACCCTCCTTCTGCCTAAAAACCTGCCTTTTTGTACAACCCCTTGGAGAGCCCTTCTATTTATTGGACAGGATACTGACTGATTCATGAATCCTTGAACAAAGCCAATTAGACCTTCAAATTTACTTGGTCAAATTTTGTTTTTTAAACAGATTGGTGAGAGTAGTGGGATCCAAAGTGAACTTCCGATGGCTTTCAGAACATTAAGGCATGGTACCCCGTGAACCATTTTGAGTTCACTGCCTTTCTCACTGTTTCTGAGGGCGGTTGGCGAGTTCCTCTCTGGTTAGCTCTGCTTTTTTTGCACTCAAGCTCCCAATCTAATTGACTTTCCTCTACAGGACAGGTCAGCTTGAGCTTGTAGATGATTCTACCCAGAGCCCAACTGAGCTGGCGGATGCTTCTGCCTACAGCCCAGCCCCTAACTTTTCAGACCACAATTCCCCAGGTGAAAAACCCAGCCCTTAGCTCTGTCCCTGGATTCCACATTGGACACTGCTGATAGTTTGGTCTGCAGTTCTCTGTTTGTTTGTAATCTTTCCCCAGGTTTCATGTTGGGAGCTGTTGCGGGCAGCTGGAGCTCTCCATAGGTGTGGAATTAGACTACAGTCCCCACTCTTTGGGGTTTGCTGGTCCAATCCTTTCCCCAATCCAAGGTTCCATGGGAATTGGCGGGGTGTGCACAGGGCCATCTTCTGGCCAGGACACAGTAACATCTCTTACTTACTGCTAATACATTAAGGTGTTTGTCTTGTTTTGTGCAGCTAAAGGCTATTGCTAAGTGGGTACCTGGAAAACCAAAAGAAACCCCTTTGGGGTTTGTCCCAGGATCCCCAGATTCCATGTTGGGAACTGTTGGTGGCAGCTCTAGTTCCCCCATTTATTTGGAATCATTCTGCAGTCCCCATTATTTGGGACCTGCAGGTTCAGTTCTTTCTCCACTCCCCAGATTATTAGTATGACTCTAAGAAACCCAAAGGCCTAGCTAAAGCAATGGGATTCTTTATATCCAAAGAGTTGTGTGTGTCACCTTCTGGCATACTTGCTTACTTTGTGTTTAAAAACTATAGTCCTAGAAGTTGAAGATCTCTAACAAGATGGCAAGATTTTATTAAAAACAATCTAGAATCACAACAGTCATTATGAGGAAAATTCCAAAGAGATAAGATCATTTAAAAAGTGCACTTAAAAGGAGGCCACAACACTGAGAGGCCCGCGTACCACCAAAAAAAAAAAAAAAAAAAAAAAAAGCTCCTAAATCAAACAGAATTGAATACCTATTTTAATTAGCATGATGAAGGCTCCAAAAGTTTCTGAAATTTCAAAATAGTTTCATTAAAAGATTGGTTGTACGGTCAGTGCTCGCGTGTGCACTCTGTGCATGCCCAGTGCAGGGCCCTTTACATATAGCTCTTCATTTCGTCACCACAACCCATTTAGGGAGGGATTATGATTCTCATGAAAGCCTGGAGCCTGTTAAGAGGCATTGCTGATATTCAAAGCCAGTTCTCTTTCCAAAGGCCATGTTCTTATTCACCTGGAGATGCTGCCACAGCTTGTCTTCCCTAACCCCATTAGTTTTTGCTGTTGTCTACTTCTGTCCCAATTATTTGTTCACTCATGCATTATATATCAAATAGCTACAAGATTCTTAATATGCGTCCTGCCCTGTGCTAGATGCTCTCAATACAGCAGGGAAATCAATGCGTTTCTTCCATTCATGGAACTTACAGTCAATCAGAGGAAACTGAGAATTACTAATCATCATCATCAAACAGTATTTATTAAGTACCTAGAAAGTGCAGTCTCTGTCATTTTTGCAGCAATGCTTTACTTTGGTGATATCACCTTCACTTTACAGATAAGGAAACGGGCTCAGATACATTTGGCAATTGGTTCTGATTTCAGTCAGCTGTAAAGTGTCTGATCTGGGATGCCAGCCTTGGCCTGCAGAATGTTCTGTTGCCTCCTCATGACATCACCCTGCCTCATTACTATGCCTCTTGATTCTTCAATGAATTTCTCATCAGGAACATAAGTCCCTGTGCCACCATCTTTTGCATTTTTTTGCCGCTACCATGTTGTTACTTTACCTCTAAGTCACTTCTCTGTCAGAATCTCCCACAGATGGGATCATTTTTGTACAAAGTAATGTGTTCAAAGTAATGTGCTAATACTGTCTCTAACAGCCTCATCTCCCATGAGAGAGACACATGCGCATGCGCGCACACACACACACTTTAGCCATGGCGCATGTATTAAATGAACTAAAAAAAAAAAAGATTGGTTGTAAAGGCTAATGAAAAATTAGAGACACTAAAGGTATTTAACACAACACCTAGGCGTCCCCCATTACACCCTTCTAGGCGGTCATCAAAACACTGGCCCAGAAATTGATGCCTCAATTGTAATCAACTGAAAGAAACACTGGAAAAAAGATTCTCCTCAAAGGCCCTCGCAAATTTTTCAACATCAACTTAAGTGCCCCGATATAGGCCCCTCCCAGAGTTGACAAAATTCTGAGGGCTTTTCTGGTAGACTGCTACATTATTCCCTTAAACAGCCAAGGGGAAACTAAAGTTAAAATTTATTGGGTTGTTCAATACTGCCAGAAATATTCAGTTCGTTCCAACTGAAACCTGACAAGATATTTGAAAGGATTTAATAACTTTATGATCAGAAATGTAGCCAAATTGGAAACTGTTATTCAGGGCCTGCTAGTTTTTTTTTTTTTTAGCGTTCTCCCCTTAGCTAAATGTATCCAGAGGGAAGGAGACATTCCAACAATAGGTGGATGGGTGCATCAATTCTTTTTTTGTCAATCCCCAAACCTCCTCTATTCATCTCAAAATAGTTGTAAATATTGGGATATTAGAAACAGAATTGTCCTGCAAATATAATCCCCAAACTCCATCTTGGAGAAAACCTGGACACCTTCTCTGTGCCT